AATGTCTATTGATTCCTGAATTTGCATTTCATAAGATTCAGAAGACGAACTCGATGATCCATCAGCTTGGATCTCAACAGATATAGTATATTAGATGTATTATTGCTATTATTGGGTTAATTTGCACTAGGTACGTCAACTTGGGATTGAGAAAATTGAATAAATGGCGAATGCGCTAAATCACCCCACCAATTAATCTGATGAAGTAAGGCCGTGTCTATTCACCGAGTCGCCTCTACACAAGTGCACAACATACCTCTAGTATGGACAAATCAGATGATTTGCCCGAAATGCCACTTTTTATCTATTGAAAAAATAAAGAATTTTATCACTTCCCGGACTATGTATCTCATTGATTCATTATTCTACATGAATGCCGAAGAAATAGTGTATAGGGTGATTCACCATAAATGTCCCCCCCTCTAGCTCAGTCATTTTTAAACCGATCCGAAAATTTGGACAATAATTTGAAATGATTTTTCCGAAATTTTTTTTCGTTGCATCAGACAATACAGGGTGCTCGGAACAAACGATCTACAGAGTACTACTTGATTTTTTCAAATGGAACACCCTGTATTTCATTGTATTTTCAGATTCTTCATGAAGAGCTGATTTCATCGATGTATCACACTTGGGGTCTAGCGGAAATGATTACAGAGATATAGGGTGTTCAAAATCGAGATGTTCTCAACTTTAGGATTTTTTTGTGTCGAAACTATTCATTATTGATCAAAACGGCTTCTATGTCCCCATCTCAACTTTTGATTTACTATCTCCTGACATTTAATCGGAACATTTACAGGGTGGTTCAAGATTCAGAATTCTGATCACCCTGTATCTGTTCCAATTATCAAATGTCAGTAGATAGTAAATAAAAAGTAACGACACGGAAATGAAAGCCGTTTTGACCGATGATGAATAGTTTCGTCACAAAAAAATCCTAAAGTTGAAAAATACCGATTTTGAATACCCTATATCTCTGTAATCTTTCTCGCTAGCCCCAAAGTGTGATACATCGATCAAATCAGCTCTTCAGAAAGAATCTAAGAATACAATGAATAATAGGGTGTTCGTTTTGAAAAAATCAAATAGTACCCTGTAGATCGTTTGTTCTGAGCATCCTGTATTTTCTGATGTAGCGGAAAAAAACTTTATCGAGAATCATTTGAGATGATATTTAAAATTTTGCAATCGGTTCAAAAATAACTGAGCTAGAGGGGGGGACATTTATGGTGAATCACCCTGCACGCAACACGTCCAAAATCAGTTTTTTTGGACTAGCAGACTTCCAGGACTCGCCTACGGCTCGGAATAGAATGTTGTCTTCTCGTTCAAAAAACCATTATTTTCCGGACTTGCAACGTGAATTACTATTCTGTCTAGGCTAGAAAAGTACAACTTTTCTGCCTTTGTAGTATCTGAGAAAAAAGATGTTGTTCAATAAATAAACCGATGATTTCTAATATTGCAGTAATTGGTGTCGGACATTCGGATCGAATATATCGCATCAATCCCACTATATTTCAACGTATCATGACGAGACGTAATTGACAGTAAAAAGATTACGAGAATTGTCGTTCTGTTCTTTCGCGAACAGAAAATACGTGACATAATTTCTAGATCAAATGAACTCGGGAGGAACTGGCTTCGAAAGATATTGGGTCTCGGAGCAACACAGGAATGCCAGGGGTGGAAATTTGTAGCTCGAGAATGTATAAGTTACATTTCGGAGTAGAGCATTGGAAATTGCCGTACAAATAATATTTGATATTTTATGGTCTTTTTTCATAAACGTCAAACAAAATTTTGATTGAATAAAAACAACTAACAATAGTGATGAATTCTCTAACTACTAATAATTAGTGATATATCTATTGTGTGTACCGTTTGAAGCATTATGTAGGTAAGCTTATTGCGGAAGCCAGCATGCCCATGGTGGTTGGCATCTAGGTTCCAGACATTCCTAGAAAATGAGCCAAAAATACTTTTACTTCATTTGGGATTTTCACTATTTACTATTGCACCATTCAATGATACCTTTCTTAAGACTTCGTTGGCAATAACTCATCTGTATCGCATCTGTAGCTGGAAGTTTTTCATCGCAATTCCACTGAATCGAAAATGATCTGTCTGTCACTCTGAGAATTACACTAACTAATTTGTGTTTTGATTGACATGACAACGATTTTTTTCCACATCAGATCAATAAAAGGCTATAGGGAGATTTATATAACAATAAACTATTATTTTTCAATATTTCTTCATTTTCACAATGAATGAATACCTAGTGCAATTTGATGGACGATTCTGTATAAACTTACTAAATACTGCAACGAAAAAACCTAAAATTTTCATATTGTGTCACCCACCACTCATATTTAGCGAGAATATTATATAAATGTTGTTCCCGCACTAGTGTGGGGAAAAATTTCCCGCACTTGTGTGAAAAAACTTTTCCCGCACTACTGCGGAAAAATGAAACTTCCCAAACTGAATTGCGTGCGGGTATAGGGTGGATGACGAACGCTTGTAGAAAAAATTATTTTGAGTTAAAATTTTATGACATTATTTTCACAATGATTCGGAATGGAAACGTTTTCTCCTATTGATGTGCAATGTTTTGCATGTCAATAATATTTCATCACGTGAAACTGTTAACATAAGGGAGTCAATCATCATTATGAGTGATAATGTGGAGGAACTATGTATATTATAGCAGCTGGAATAACAAATGAGTTTGTAGAAAGGAACATGGTGAACTCAAGCACCTAACTCATAGTCTTCAAAACAGATTCTCATCAACTCCATCATTCAATCGCAAGAATAACTTGATTTTGTGAAGGCATCTTCATGTTTCCGTAATCACTCTCCAGTTGTTTTTCACATATAGAAAACAGAAAATTTTACTTATTTGTGATCATTCCGAATCTTTTCAAAAAACATTGAACCTCACGAAAGGAAGTTCTATCCAAAAGCGAGTCAGCTTAAATAGACTTCTTGATCGGTAGTATCATGAGTCCTGTACTACATGTTTAACAATCGAAATATCACTGAAAATCATAAAATACTGAGATCACTTTGGAATGAAAGTCACACAAAACCTATTCCCAAAATGGAGTTAGTCTATTCAGAAAGGAAAACTCCTATGAAACTTAAATCTGTAGATGAGATTTCGAGTGGAGGTTCCAACCGATGAGTTCCGACCTGTGGAGTTTAGAGCCTGTGGAAGTTTGAACCAGTGAAGTTCTTTTTCCTCGATAGAATTGAAGTTGTTCATGGGTTTCAGAACTCTGTGAGCTCAAACATGGAACCTAATGATGCATCTGGGTTTCTAATGTTTCTATCAATGTGGTGAAATATACTCACTTATGCCAAGATACTGTTTTGGTTCGCGATCACTAAAATCTCAATCATAATAAGATGAGTGTCACACAAAGTCTATCCACAAAATAGAGTTAGTTTATTCATGCAAGAAGGAAAACACTTATAACGTTCAAACCTGTAGGCACGATTTTGAGTGGAGGTTGGGAGTCTATGGAAGTTTGAACCAGTATGAAGTTCTTCCTCGATGAAATGAAAGTTCTTCATTTTAGAACTTGGTGTGCTCAAACTTCGAATTATAACGCCTAGATCTGTAGACACGATTTTGAGTGGAGGTTGAAACCTATGAGTTCCAACGTGTGGATTTTCGAGCCTGTGCAAGTTCGAACCAGTGGAAAATTCTGCACTCCTCCCCGATGCAATAAAAACTGTTCATGGATTTTAGAACCCTATGAGCCCAAACTTCGAACCCAATGATGCAGTGTTCCTGAAATATTCACCTATGCTGAGGTAATATTGGTTCCCGATCTCATAGGGCTCCCAAGTGAGCCCCTTATACCGAGTCATTTCTCTGGGTGTGCCATAATCAGGTTATGTTAGGTCAGGTTAGGTTTATTCTGAAAAATCACACAAAGTCTATTCGCAAAATGGAGTTTGTTTATTCAGGAAGGAGAACTGCAATTAATAACGTTCAGAGTGATGTTCTTTTTCCTCGATGGAATCACAAGTTTTTCATGTATTTCAGAACCCTATGAGCTCAAACTTCGAACCAAATTATGCAGGGTTTCTATAAAAGATGTGGTCAAAAGTATTCACTTATGCTGAGGTGATATTGGTTCATGATATCATAGGGCTCCCAAGTGAGCCCCTTATACCGAGTCTTTTCTCTAGGCATGCCATAGTCAGGTAAGGTTAAGTCTTAGGTCTATTCTCAAAAATCACACAAAGTCTATTTCCAAAGTGAAGTTAGTTCATATTGGGTGGAGAACTTCAGTAACGTTGAAGGTGAAGTTCTTCTTACTCAATGAAATTAATGGTTTTCCATGTATTTTAGAACCCTATGAGCTTGAATTTCGAACCAAATAATGCAGGGTTCTTATGAAAGATGTGGTGGAGAGTACTCACCTATGCTGAGGTTATATTGGTTCCCGATCTCATAGGGCTCCCAAGTGAGCTCCTAATACCGAGTCTCCTTTCTAGGTATGCCATAGTCAGGTTAGGTTAGGTCTTAGGTCTATTCTCAAAAATTACACAAAATCTATTCCCAAAGTAGAGTTAGTTCATTCAGGAAGGAGAACTTCAGTAACGTTCAAAGTGAAGTTCTTCTTACTCGATGAAATCAAAGGTTATCCATGTATTTTAGAACCCTATGAGGTCAAACTTCGAACCAAATAATGCAGGGTTTCGATACAAGATGTGGTAGGAAGTACTCACTTATACCGAGTCGTGTCTCTGGGTTTGCCATAGTCAGGTTAGTGTAGATGAGGTCAGGTCTATGCTCAAAAATCACACAAAGTCTTTTTCCAAAATAGAGTCAGTTCATTCAGAAAGGAGAACTTCAATAACGTTCAAAGTGATGTTCTTCTTCCTCGATAGAAAAACATTTTTTCATGAATTTCAGAACCCCATGAGCTCAAAGTTCGAACCAAATAATAAGAGATGTGGTGAAGAGTACTCACTTATGCTGAGGTAATATTGGTTCCCGATCTCGTACGGCTCCCAAGTGAGCCCCTTATACCGAGTCTTCTCTCTGGGCGTGCCGTAGTCGGGTGCCTCGCGGTGCGTGGTACCCGCCTTGGTGCCGGCGTCGTTCGGGTCTCCGCTCTTGGCGAAGTTGGCGAGGAAGTTGAGCATCGCCTCGGCTACTCCGGCGTCCTGTCGGCTGAAGTTTTGAGGGAAGAACGGTTGTCCACCGACCAGCGGCAGGCCGAGGATGTAGGTGAGGTCTTCTCCCCTGACACTCCCCAATCGCTGAAAAACGTTTGAAAGGATATTCTCCTCTCACGAATTCGGAAGAGCATTTAGGATCACAAGGCGGCCCCGTGGTCGTGAGCGCGAAGGCTTTGAGTTCATAAGGGAAATCCCATCAAGGCATGGGTTCAAGCCCAGCCTTGTTAGTGATGGATGTTTTTGAATGTATGCTATCCTAACGCCGCACAACTGGGACAACTCTACGCTTTAGGTATATCACCCATGCCATCTAGTGGCAAAGCTCTAAGTTAGGATTCAAAGATTGCGACACACACTGTATGGTGCTGCATAATATCCACTCAAGTATATCAGGTAGTGCCATCTGACAGCAGAGTGGTTCACTTGTAGTACCACTCTGTAGCGTATAGACTATAGATGGCAGCGCCATACAGTGTGTGTCGTGATCTTTGGATCCTACCTCAGAGCTTTGCCACTAGATGGCTACAACATGACTATAGCTTCATGTTATACCCTGCGAAAATCAATTTGATGTTTCTGTTATCACGAATTAATGAATCCGTATATTATGTAATGGCATTATTTGAAAGTTTCGATTAAGTACGTTTGGAATATAAGGAAGTGTATGATGAGATCATTGCCATGCTGGAGCGAATATATTTCACCTCCGACTTTGTTTCCTCAAATGAGGGAGCAAACTCCTTTTTTTCGACTCTGAGAGTGGATGAATTAATTTTATACCAGGTGACCATGATCCTCACTAGCGGATATTAGCTCTCCTTGGTCTGGTACCCAAAATGAAAGAAGTACGTCTTGGCACCACGTCGTGCATGGAGGTATGCTACCCTTATCAGTGGAGACACCGTGTGTCCGTCGCTCAGCGCCTCCATAGTCGAGTACCTGATATTAATCGGGTGCTGGATGGGCTTGTCCCAGTCCGTGTACTCATTAAACACTCCTTTGAGGAAATTAGCCTTAGCTCCCATGATATATGTATATGATTTTATCGAAGGCATCGGTATTTTCTGGAATTCTCATTCTTGAAGTTGTGCTTCAGGAGGTATCGCATTCTTCTTGGAACCAGTTTGCAACCAAGATGTTTTTGCCGCTATTGATACATTGAGCGATTCTAGCTCTCGCGACATCCATGATTTGAACAGTCAATTGATAAAGGTAACTGCTCAACTTATTGTTTCGCCATTAACTCAAGTTATTTCTCTTATTTTCAACCAAGGGATCTTTCCAGATATTCTAAAAATTTCTAGAGTAATACCTTCATTCAAGAAAGGAGACAAATCATCTATGGATAATTATCGTCCTATCAGTATTATATCCATCATGAGTAAAGTAATTGAAATTATCTCGAAAGTAAGACTGTACTCCTTTGAAAGTAGACTTTATTTTAGTGGGTCACAATAAGGCTTCCGCATAAACAAATCCACAACTCAGACTGCCTTCAGAATTGTGACAGACATAGTGAAGGGGCCTCGATCAAGGTATAGACCTACATCATTGACACTGTGTGATTTGACGAAGGCCTCTGACAGTGTATTGCACAGCCTGCTCATTGAATAATTGGAATAGTATGGTATAAGGGGCATTGCTATAGAGCTGCTTCGTTCGTACCTCAAACACAGGATTCAGTGTGTGGAACTCAATAGTGTTGAGTCTGATTTCAAACCAATCGAACATGGGGTACCACAGGGCTCAGCTCTTGGACCATTTATATTTATCGTTTACATCAACGACTTATGTCAGCCCACTGCGCCTATCGAATGTGTCCTCCTTGCTGATGACACACCTCTTGTATGCTCAGGAAGATCATATACGGACCTCATAGAATCTGCTTCAATGAAACTGATTTCAGCTAAAAACTGATTCAATTAAGATAAACTCAAGCTAAATGAAAACAAAACTCAGAATTTGATAATTTCCTCAAATTCAAACTTTCAAGAGGAAAAAAGTCTGAAATTCCGATACCTCACCTTAGACGACAGACTGAATTAGCACAATCATGTAGAACATGTAGTACGAACGTTATCTAGCGCTCTGTTCATACTAAGACAATCGAAATGTATAAATAATCTCGGCATCTTGAGAATTTGATATTTTTCGTTATTTCATTCTGTACTGTCATACGGTATTTCTTATATACAGTGTGTCCACCTTAAGGACTTACCACCCCTGTAAAATCGTTATTATCCGACCAATTTCAAAAAACCTTTTTTGTTGGATAGGTATTTGAAATGCCCATCCAACGAGAGAGTGATCTAATTCTTGGACTGTTATGGTGGCCAACTGCGACAAATTTCAATGACCCATATTCCAGAAAGTACTATTAGGGTTTTTTTTCCACGACATTTGATGATGGATTCTGAATCAGTACCACTTGAAATATACCTGTACCGATTTTCATCATCATAAAACACAGGGTGTCCGAAAAATCGAATCATCATTTTCTTTAAATAGGTGATCAGCAAATGTAGTTCTGTGGTTTTTCTAAAAAAAAAATGATCACAAATTATCCTTGAGGATCATTTCAAATATACCTGTACCAATTTTCGTCATTTGAATATACAAAGTGTCTGGGAAAAAAATTAAAAAGGATAGGTAAGCAATATTTTTCATCCTGATAATTCTTCACTCGAAATAAAAAGATGAATCAGGATCACTTGGAACATACCTGTACCGATTTTCATCATCATTAAACACAGGGTGTTCGAAAAATTAAATTAATATTTTTTTTGAGTTGATGAAAAAATATTGCCTACTTTTTCTTTTTAATTGTTTTCTCATTCACATCGTATTTTTGAATGATGAAAATCGGTACAGATATTTTCAAAGTGATCCTCAATAATAATGTGTCATCAATTCTTCTCGAAAATACCACAATACTACATTTTCTGATCACCTATTAAAAAAAAACATAATTCGTTTTTTCGGACACCCTGTGTTTTATGATGATAAAAATCAGTAAAGGTGTTTTTCAAGTGATCGTGATTCAGAATCCATCATTGTTTTCTGTGAAAAAAAATCCCTAATAGTACTTTCTCAAATATGGGTCAATAAAGTTGGTCGCAGTTGGCCACGATTACAGTTCATGAGTAAAATCACTCTCTTGTTGGATGGACATTTCAAATACCTATCCAACAAAAAAAAGTTTCTTGAAATCGGTCAGATAATAACAATTTTACAGGGGTGGTAAGTCCTTAAGGTGGACACACTGTATATATTTCTACCAAGAAAGCAAGCTGAAGCCAATTCATTTTACCTCCCGTGGAAGTAAATTGACAGGTGTGTGTCCTTGAATGCGGGAGCCAACGCTTACTTTCGATGCAGTGAGTAGATAAATGAATTTTATACACAGGTAGCATGATCCTCACCTGTGGATATTCGCTCTCTTTGGTCTGGTACCCGAAATGAAAGAAGTACGTCTTGGCACCTCGTCGTGCATGGAGGTATGCCACCCTGATAAGCGGAGACACCGTGTGCCCGTCGCTCAGCGCCTCCATAGTCGAGTCCCTGATGTTAATCGGGTGCTGGATGGGCTTGTCCCAGTCCGTGTACTCATTCCTCACAGCCGAGAAGATCTCGTTGAGATGATAGACGTAAGCGTTGCGCACATACGTCCTCAAAACGCGATTGCGCTGGTCCTCTTCGAAGCCGTACTGGATGTCGCTGGCGCTGAAGTCTGCGTAGCTCTCGGTGGTGGTGGTGCCGAGCATCACCTAAGGACAGTCATAATATGAGCAAATTATAGAAAGTGTCTTCTTCACTTCTTTTTCAATAAACAGGGTGTTAATGATATGCTAATAATCAAGGGGCCGATTCTTCGACCCATTTCAAGAATAAAACTTCACATTAACATATGTCGTAAACGTCCTAACTTTTGGGATATAGGGTGTCAATGTTGAAAATATGCATAGATTATTTTTTTGTCCACCCTGCATAGCTTTTCGTGATGGCAAAATTCAGTCTGCTATATGACTGGATCGGTATACAAATTTAGAAATGTTACATGCATTGCAGTGGTTATCCAGTAATGGATGTCCTGAATGGAGTACTCAAACATCAAAATTTGAAGTCTGGTCTCGTTTTTCCATTTCTTCTCGAAAACCAAGCGTTCTATCGAGTATCAACAAGTGAATATTTTTTGTACAGGGTGGCCAACTAAGACTCCAGAGTTCGATTTCTCTGTTGTCTTGAGAGATACAAAAAAAATTCTGAATAAAAATTGAAGTAATAACCGAGCTTCACATTTCAAAATTTCTTTGAAATACACAGGGTGTTCCGTAAGGTCACAGCACATCAAAGCTATGTTTTTTTCATTGGAACACCCTATATTTTATTTCATTTTTGAATTCTCCCTGAAGATCTGATTTCAACAATCCATCATACTTGGGGTCTAGCAGTGAAAGTTACTGACATATAGGGTGTGCAAAATCGAGATTTTCCAAGTTCAGGATTTTTTTCTGTCGAAACTGTTCATTATTCGTCAAAACGGTTTACATGTCCCTATCTCAACTTTTCACTCACTATCAATTGGTGTTCAATTGAAATTGATACAAGGTGGTCAAAAATCTAAATTTATAATTTGTTTCAATTAAATGTCAATTGAACACCAATTGATAGTGAGTGAAAAGTTGAGATAGGGACATGTAAACCGTTTTGATGAATAATGAACAGTTTCGACAGGACAAAATCCTGAACTTGGAAAATCTCGATTTTGCTCACCCTATATGTCAGTAACTATCACTGCTAGACCCTAAGTATGATACATCGTTAAAATCAGATCTTCAGGTAGAATTCATAAATGAAATAAAATATAGGGTGTTCCGATGAAAAAAACATAGCTTTGATGTGCTGTGACCTTACGGAACACCCTGTGTATTTCAAAGAAATTTTGAAATGTGAAGCTCAGTTATCACTTTAATTTGAATGCAGAACTTTTTTTTGTATCTCTCAAGACAACAAAGGTATCGAACTCTGGATTCTTAGTTGGCCACCCTGTACATAATTAAATAGCCTTTTATAGCATTGTATGTAATTTAAAAATTTTTCGTCGCTGCTCACTTTTAAGTAGAATATAAACAATAATTTTTCCGTAACGGTGCCACTGGTAGAGCAAATGAAAATTTTTGTATATCAGAAAATGAAACTTGATGCATAAGTGGCTTGTACCAAATTTCGAAGAGATGTATACAATATTGCCTTAGTTATCATCAAAAAACTGAATAATTTTGAAAACTTCATCACCCTGTGCCTCAAAAGTTAAGACTTTTAGGACATACGTTCATATGAAGTTTTCTTCTTAGAATGAGTCAGAGAATCACCCCTCTCAAATATTAGCATGTCTTCAAGGAACACCCCGTATAGGATGAATTATGAGATTTGGCAAAAACATCTTTTGGTCTTAACTTTCCAAGAGCTTCTTCGATTCGTCGGATTTTTTTCGATACCACTCTCTAATTGACTGACTCATTGATAATCGGGAGAATCCAGGACCGTTCTTGAAAAATTTTGATAGTTTAGCTTAGAGAAAGTCTTTATTGTACTATTGTACAAAAAACCAGAAGTTTTTGTTGACAAAGCATGTGTAACATAAACTATAACCAATATTTAAACTACATAAAATAATGTAAAATATGCACATATATAAGGAACAAAACATTTAAGTAGAACATACAGTGTGTCCCACTTACCATGCTCACCATGGGTATCTTTTCAACGGTGAGAGATACGAGGTCGGTTAAATGACACCAAATGTGGAGTATGTCAAGGCCAACTATGATGTGAAAAAATATTTTGATAAAATCTATTCGTTTTTGTTTTATACGCAAAAAACAGATTTTGATCATTTTCATGTCTCCTCCGTAACTTCTTTATTTATGAAAATATTCATATAGGAATTTCACATTCTCATGGCAGTTTTTCAAAGTGATTTCGAAAAGAATATGAAATTTGTATCAACTTTTCTAGAATTTTAGATATCAGCACCAACTTTAGTTTTTCAAATGTAGGTCATAGTTCACTATGACTTAGTTACAAAAAACTTTTTTTTCTCTTACAGATAATATGTTGCAGTGATAGTTTTGTGTTGATAATAATGGAGTTATCGTCATTTATACAAAAACAAAAAATTATTTGGAAGCCACCATCTTGAATTTATAAATTTTAACAAGAAAATCATGATCTCCGACCTCAAAAACCCCCACTCACCAATTTTGAATGGAATCGAACCACATCTAGGCTGCCATCTTGGAGCACCCATTTTTTTAAATTTCAACAAAAATTTCATAATGTATTGTCACCGAAATCATGAACACCTGCCAAATTTTTAATTAATTTAAAAGTTAATCGGAGTTATAAAATTTTTGTTGAAATTAAAAAAAATGGCTGCTCCAAGATGGCGGACAAGATTTGGTCCGATTACATGCAAAATTGGTAAGTGGGGGTTTTTGAGGTCGGAGATCATGATTTTCTTGTTAAAATTCTTAAATTCAAGATGGCGGCTTCCAAATAATTTTTTGTTTTTGTATAAATGACGATAACTCCGTTGTAATCAACACAAAACTATTACTGCGACATATCATATGTAAGAGAAAAAGAAGTTATTTGTAACTAAGTCATAGTGAGCTATGACCTACATTTGGAAAACTAAAGTTGGTGCTGATATCTCGAATTCTAGAAGAGTTGGCACAAATTTCATATTTTTTTCGAAATCACTTCAAAAAACTGCCATGAGAATGTGAAATTCCTATTTCAATATTTTCATAAATGAAGAAGTTACGGAGGAGACATGAAAATGAACAAAATCTGTTTTTTGCGTATAAAACAAAAACGAATAGATTTTATCAAAATATTTTTCCACATTATAGTTGGCCTTGACAAACTCCACATTTGGTGTCATTTAACCGACCTCGTATCTCTCACCGTTAAAAAGATACCCATGGTGAGCATGGTAAGTGGGACACACTGTATACTAGTAAAAGTCACACTATAAAAAAGATATTGAACAATTGCGAAAAGTTCATCCTGTGACAAGGAACTTTCAGAGGTCACAAAAACACATCAGAAATTGAATATTCCAAATTTTCCTTAGCTGTTTAATTCTTTTCCAGCGCGACTATTCATTATTTGGCGCATGCGCTGCCGTGAATGATGAAAGCAATTAATTTATTAGTTGAATTTTGGCCTTCTTCCTCAGTTTTAATGTTACTTTTGATTTTTCAGTTTCTTGCATGATCCCCTACATTACATTTAATAGTTTCATATTATTGGTTTGAGTTTGAGTTTTGAATTTTTCTTGCATGCATCCACCTTTATTTCAATACCTGATTGACTTACCTCGGATACGATGAAGGTGTCGCTGGCGTGTTCCATCGCGTAGGCTGGGTCAGCAGAGTCGGGGTCGACGGGGAGAGATGGCGCTATGCGCGGCATGAAGCGGACTTTCTCCAGTCGGACGTCCAGGAGGGCTTGGAGGGGCCTGCGGAATCACGACAAAAATCTTCGAATTCGAAGAAAAAAGTCTGAATTCAAAGAAAAAAGTGTGACTTCTCGAAGAATAAGATTGAATTCAAAGAAAAACTCTGAATTCAAATGGTGCAGACTGAATTCAAAGAAGAAAGTAAGAGTTCAAATGATACGATACGCTGCTGTTTTCTCTATTCGAATAGCAAACAAAGCAAGAATCTATATATAAACTATTTGCACTGACAATCGTGATTTTCTGCCCAATATTTTTAGAATAACCTGTAAACATACACATGTACAAGAAGTCTAAGTTTAGAGAAAAAGTTATGAATGCAAAGAATAAAATCAGAAATTAAAAAAAAGTGTGAATTCCAAAGACAAAATTGTGAATTCAAAGTGAAAAGTGTCCATCCCTGTCAGACAGAGAAACAATCTATAATATGAACTTTAGAAACGCATTTTGTTTGATGACTGTCGTTGAATGTGTAGCTCAAAAAGTAATTTCATCATTCCACATGATTTTTTATTGATTGCAGGGATATTTGAATATCTGAATATCACCGGAAAAATTCAAACGATAATTTCGTGATACAATTTAAGATGGGTGTTTGGTATGGCAATTTTTTTGATAAACCTTTTCCCAGAAAACTAACACCCTTCTAACAAAAAAGAAGTATCTGTTTTCTATTTCCCCTGTATGTTAAGCTAAATACACGAAACTTAAGAAAACTTTTGAGACAAAATATCTCAGAAGTTGAAAATTTCATCCCCATTTAAATCTGTAGTTCCATAATAATATTTATCAAGAAAGTTCCTTTTGAAAAAACATGGCAAAGTTTTCGAAAAAACTTTTAGATATGTAGAAGTTGATTAGGCTCTTCAGCGCCGTTTTTCTAAAAGAAATTTTTCGATAAAAAAAAAGTTGTAAGAAAAAACACCTCAGGGTTTCAATATGTGTGGTTTTATTGACATATATTATTCACCGAGTCTTGTGTTTCTAGCTTTATATACAGATATGGTGTGTGTTTTATAGTATTATGTATATCTCAGTGCACCCCTACGGTGTGAGTGCATTCTTGCTCTCCTTGATTGTTAAGAAATGCGTACTAATGGTTAAACGAAATTATTATTGTTTAATTATTGTATCGAATCCTATTCATGCATAAAAATATCAATATTATAAAATAGGTATTTCTCGTGGATTCGACTATTAGAAACTGACTATAGAATCAATAATTGAACCTCTCATAATTATGTTACCGACTTAAGTGTGTCCTACACCAACAGGCCCAGTCCAGGCCCTGGTCCAGTCCCTTTCACAATCTAAATACCAAAACGAAGTTGAGACAGCAATCATTTCCTTGGGTTGGAAGGCATTGTTCGGACAAAAGGGGCTTTAAGCTTCTCGGTGAGGTATCAGATAATTCCTTGACTAATGGGAAGTGAATGAAACAATAGCAAACTATGAAACTCACCCTAATCGGATTAGCCGATGTAAATATGGGGATGGTTCGTTAGGGGTTGTCTGTCTTGGCAAGGAATTAGCAGAGGATACCAATGTTTTGGTCATTCCGTTTTGCTCATGAAACTATGTACGAATGTTACATAAACAGAAAGTGAAAAAATCCCTCCACGACCATATCATTAGATTCATTTAGACATCACGAACATTTTGTTGTAGATGAAAAAAACAGATTGGCTCATTTTTATTTCCTGAATAATCTGGATCACATTCTTCAATAAATCAAGAAATATGCAATTGGATGATATGTATAGGGTGTTTCAAAATTCCAACGCTCGGCAGGTGATAGCCCTCGTGAATCCATAATTACTGAGACAGGGACAAAAGGTCTTCATGCGTTCAGTTCTCGAGATACAGGGTGTTGAAGTTGAGAAATACAGAGAATAATTGTGAAATTACTTAAGAATTGTTGAATATTTTGCATTCGAATTCTGTATATGATTTGATTTTTGGATGGGTCATTTTTTGACCAGAAAGTCAGTGGTTCGCTACAAGAAGTTGTGGTAATTCTTCCTCTCATATTTTTTACGACCCTAATGAAATTTCGATTATCCTCAATTTCCAGAATTATTCATTGTTCAATCAATAGATCCCGAGATATTTGACCCAGATTAGAAATTTGTACAGTAGTTTTTCATCATTTTCAGTAGTAGAAAATATCAAAAATATGTTTCTGGTCTGTAGCTGAACATGGGTATTTATTCCATGCAGAATGATAAATCGAACAGTTTTGTGATCTCATACTACTGAAAATTAATTTCAGCTGATCAGTTGATGGTGATGAATTTTTTTAATAAAATTTCACAATGAATTCGAGGGATTGAAAATGATACCAATTCGATCAGTAGCGTGAAAACTATGAGAGGAAAAGTTACCACAACTCTCTGTCTGGAAAGACTTCCTGATAAAAAAATTACCCATTTGAAGATTAAATCATACACCAAATTTGCGAAATATTCAATCGTTTCTGAGTTATTGCGAAAAAACTAAATTTATTTCTTATTTTCATCACCATTTTTCTCGAGAATTGAACACTTGAAGACCATATCTCAGTGATTTTGAAATCACGAAGGATGGTTGATGGTCGAATTTCGAAACACCCTGTATACATACGAGGAGCCAATTTCCATAGATCTCTGCAATTTCGTGAAAATGCGAGAAGAATAATTGATAGGATGAACCGGAATAACCCATATATCTTCGATTTATTCCAGTTATGTAACAGTTTCGTATAAAAACCAACCACCATCCCAAGGCGATTGTTATAAATATATCATGTGCACTGATGATGTATTCGAAATGCATTGTAGCTCAGTTATTTCAAGACATACGCTTGTATCTGATCAAACGCATTCGTGGCGTCATGAATATGCATCCCTCGTGTGCGGACGGTTAAGGGCTAAATCATCCCTTGATGGGGTTGTCGCTGATTTACATCTTGGTTCGTTTGACAAAATAATGTTTCGAATTAATGGATGCAAACGATTGTCCCAGTATCACCAGATTCCTAATGAATTTATTCAAATTTCATTCAATGTCCCAAAACGTTCCGAAGGAGTTGCGAGAGTATTTATGTATATACAGGGTGTTCTCAACGGTGGGACATAAATACCGCCTCAGTGAAAGTAGAATAATAACGAAACTAATGATAACAATTAAATATTACATGCAGTGTGTGTTTCAAATCACCTTTGGCAGTGTACCTATACTCATATTTCCGCAGATGCAAGCTCGTTTGAATTATCACTGAGTTCAGCATCGCTTTATCCAGGGGTCTTTCGACATCTGTATGGTAATTCTAGGTATAATAAGATATTTCCAGAGTCTAGACATTCAATAGACGAACGAGCAGTTTGCCAGGTAGTTTTCTCTCGCATTGTGACCATGATTTTGAATTTAGTCTCTCTTTATGGATTTTTTTATTTTTCAGCTTACCTGGACCTGAGACAGGATGCAATATCCAGATCTTCTGGAGGTGATTCGGATGGCAGGCAGCCCATTTGCTGCCCTACAGTGACTCGCAGGCTATCTCCGTTGTGGATGGTAGCCCAAGGACTGAGTGCCGTGCCGCTTAAAAGCACTACCCGTCTGAAAAGTCCTAGAAAAAAAAAGAGTTCTCGAGTGAAATATACTGTTAGAACTTTGATAATCGAAGGAATTCATGAATTCTCCTTTTCTAGTGTATTCTTCAATTCTTTTTTGGCATCTAGAAAGATTCTCTATCCAGGAAAATGTCAAAGAAGAAGAATAAAATAATAATGAACATTGTTCTTGATTATGAATGAAATATTCTGTCCATCTCTAGAGATAATATCCGATGGACCAGTGTCGTAGAACTCAACATTATATATCGAAATATTTGTAGTGTGATACCACATGGATTTTACACTGGTCCAAATATCTCCTATTATTAGTGCATTCAGAAGATGCCCCAAACTTAATATGAAAATTGCAAATATAGTACTCTATTCACATATACTGAGTCGAATTAACTGTTTGATAAATGTTAGGGAACCTTGTTCTGAAAATAATTTTGATAAAATATCAACATTATATAGGAAATCTTCAAGAGAACTGTATCGTCTTCCATATGATACACCAACAACTGAACTGTATGCCTCAACAAAAACATATTCTTTAGAAGAACTGTACAGATTGAAGACTCTGAAAATTTCATGTAATATCATAAATAAAAAATTGAAATCTGATAATATTTTGACAAGAAAGTTTCCAATTCATAGTCATCAAACTAGACAATATAACTTATTTCACCTTGATGCTGCTAGTTCTACACTCGGACAAAAAAGATTCACTCATGCAGCCTTATTTGAGTTCAATAAACTACCAGATGAAATCAAAAACTGCAGAAATATAGCTACATTTAACAAGAAAATAAAAAAAAACTGATCAATCCTGATTGAAATGTTCAAGATTTATCAGCAAGTTATGTCCTTGACTAGAATGCTTTACTTTGTTCATTGATTGTTTTTTCTCATTGTGATTCATTGTGATATCCTGATTTATTATGATTTATTATTCATGTTCACTTCTACTCATGTTTGTGTAGTAGTTCAAAGATATTTATCATTTATTATTTCATGATTATGTTCTTCCTCTTACCAGAACTTGTTCTGACTGGAAGATATGTTTGATAAATAAATAAATGAAAATGATCCTTGAAAAACAAACAAAAAATTGGCATTGGCATATGGCCTAATCCTTATATTTTCATCAAATCGCGAAATCGAGGGCGAATTGCCGCACAGGAGAGTGCAGTTTTTCAATTATTTTGCTCAGGATAGTGATCAGCAGTTCAATAAACTACAATATTTTGTATTCTTTTGAGACATATATCATTTCGTTATCAGATGGTCAACATTTGCAGCCGCCTCTTCTACTATTGGGAAACATTAACAAAAACAGAGTTATATGAACGCATATATTATATCCTATACATAGTTCAGCTTATTAGACCGTCAGGGCGAGGAGGAAAAGGATTGTGTTGTCTAACTTATTCATGTGTGATGGGAATGCAGGGCTTTCAATAATGAAACGGGTGATGAGAATGTTCAGGATATGCGGTCTTGTTCGAGGTGACTCGGTTTTAATATTTCAAGTCCCATTATAGATGTGTTCTGCCAGAGAGCTTGTTTTGCACTCAATCATGTATACAGAGTTCACCTGATTTGTCCTCAATACATTTAATATTTGATTAATAAACATATTTTTCGGCAACCGTCCGGGAAGAACAAATAAACGGAGTCAACAAACAGAAGCCAGCCGCAAGTTTGGTGACCGAAACCACAAAAGTAGTTGGTTCATTCACTTCAATGTTGAAACAATTCATGTAATGCTGAAACGGTTTGTTATACTAAACAGGGTGATACAACTATTTCAAACCCTGATGAGGAAGCTCGACGTATACTATGGTATGCCACTCATAAAAAAATATAGGGATAAATACTATCGTACTTCGCTACGGAGTTATCGACTTCGAAAGTTTTACCTTTTAAATGGGCCATGATATCAATGATATTTGGACAGTTAGATTAACTCATACTATCCAGAGTCAGTACTCATGGAAATGGACAAATCATTTAGTGTCAATGTTCGAGTCTACTTTGAGATGCACCTTTTGTGGCAATTGTTCGGTGACGTTCGAACCATTTTGGGAGTTGTCTTTACCAATACCAGAGCGATCAGACCAGCTCAGTCTGTCTCATTGCTTGGACTCGTTCACCTTTGTTGAGATTTTAGACGTCGAGGAGAAATCAACTTGCTTGATGTGTAAAGAAAAAAGAAAATGTTTGGAGTCAATATTCATCCACAGATTCCGAAAAATTTTGGTAATACATCTGAAACGTTTCTCGCAGACTGAACAGGTCAGTGAGAAAATCATGGAGAAAATGAACACAATTGTCGACTTTCCTTCGATCTGCTTGGACATAAGCCTCTACGCAGCTGAAGATATCTTTCCATGTCCTTACAATCTGTACGCTATCTCGAATCATTACGGTACTACCTGCAGCGGACACTACACAGCCTACTAGAGACATCTATGTACTGAAATTTGGCACGAGTCAAGTGGGGATTCTAATATTCTTTTTTACCAGCAAGAGGTCAACCCCAAATAGGAATTCAACTACGGAGTTCAAGACGCCTCAACTGGTGACAACAGATCCTTCAATGAATGATATTAAAATTTGTGTAATTTAGCATTGTTGAACATTTAGAAATGAATGATTCATTCCTAATACTCCTTTCGATATATAAACGGCTGTTCAATGATTATGTTTTATAAAGGATGGAACGCATTTTTTTTTAATAATGGAGGCATTTCTGACAGAGGTGACAAATTTGACATTTTGCTTCCACTGTTTGATCCCTTCAAAAATAGTATAGGTACTTCATTTCGCTTATTGACTATTTAATCGATATCATGTACCGGTCTAGAGAAAATCGCATTTTGAAAACATACATCTCAACCGTTTCAAAAGTGATTAGAATTCTATTCATTCTATAAGTATCAGTTCATTGTACCAGTATATCACCTGTCGAAGCTACTGTTTTAGCGAAACATGTTATGTGTTTGACACATCTGGGAAAATCATCAGTTGCAGTCAAAATTGCCTCAAATTATTTCGACAGTATTCAATACTTTGATGAGACGATAAATGAGTTGAGTAATGATGAGTATGCAAATGTGTAGACCTGCAGAAACTTTCAAGGTCCATCACTCCGTAACGAAGTGCGATAGACATTTTTTTAAATAATAATAATAATAATCTTTATTATTTCCAAGAAACATCATGAAATAAGATTATCAGATAATCATTTTTAAATCATATACAAAGTACATATAATGTTGTTTCTTCTAGAGACTGTTGAATATAAGTTCTTGAATTGATAAAGGATGATATATATAAGAGAATCAAAGACATAAGTATTTTTTCAGTTCTTTTTTGAATTTTTGCTCAAGCCTTGCAGGCAATTCATTGTAGAGAATTATTTCATTGTATTAAATAGATCATTTACCAATATCTGAAGATAAGATTCATGGCAAACGCAAAACATTGAATGGATTCTCTCGTTATGCAATTGTAACTCGCATCTGAGAAAAATCAGCTGCACGAATTCGTTGAAAAAACAAACATAAGTTGAGTACTAACGATTTGTTTACGAGTGAGATATAAATTTGGAATTCTCCCTTGGGTCGGAACCAATGCTTCATAGAGGAAAAAAACATCCCAGCAGATTGCATAAACAGACAGAGTGAAATCGCGCGTCTCTAACTCGATAAAAGTTAACTGGAAAAACTTGATGATGTGTAAAAATCTATTACGAAACTTCCACTAACAGCGGCATATATTCTCGAAAAGGACTTTCCAAACTACCTGGGTGGTATCAACGCTCGGAAAATGAACTGGTTGAAATGGCCAATGGAAAATCGATCGGTACATATTTTTCGCGTACTGAGGCGTAGCTACAGGAGGTTAAAATAAATTCCCCTAGAATTCCCCATAAACGTACCAGAGAAATCATTGGTTATATTGCAAATACTGAGATTATTTCTTCATCTTTTTTCTTGAGATTTCACACCTCGTTCGCGAAAAATCCCAGTTTAACCACGTGGCATCCATCTAACCCTCCTTTTTTTTATCGATAAATCATTTACTCATATAGTGCTAGTGAATATTCAGACAGGAGGTAGGTACAGTGGTGAATTATGACATTATAGCGCTGAAAAAACTCAGATTTTGATCCGTTTCACCTCAGTTGACGGTACTCCGTTTGAGATATTTAAAAGAAAATACACACACCTAAATATGAGTGAGAGATTACATAAATTATATTGTGAAAATTCTCCTTTTTTGTAGGGCTCAGAAGCAACTAATGTTTTTCTTACGTGATTTTTTAAAGGTATGAAGTTCAAGTTTTGGAGATGATCTGGAAGTAAGTTATAATATTGTAAACATTTGTAGGAACAAACTTTTTGATATGATGTTGTTTTATGTTGAGGATAGCAAAATACTTCTTATCGTCGTGTGTTCTGTTTATGATCGGAAATATATTCAAAGACACTGGAATATAAATAGTGCAGGAAAAGTTAAAAAGTCTGATTTCTTGATGAAACCTCTACAAGAGTCATTGTCATTTGAGTAATTTGACCCTTGAAGACATCTTGACTCTGTGATCCTCCCCGAAATAAAATGCCATAATTCATTATGGAATAAAAATGAAATAATAATCTGTTGATAGAATGTTGTGGTGTACAACTTTTCTGAGTTCTTCAAGCAAATAACGAATACTGCTTAGTTTTCCACAGAGCACCTGTACATGGTCTGTCCAGCAGAAATGAACATCTACTGTGACACCTATAACAATTTCGTTGATTCACAGTAAGATACGTCCACTTCCTGAATATTGATTTCGTTTGGATGCAAAATATTATTTCTGCTATGTCTAAATAGCAAACAGTTGTTTTTTTGAGGATTCAGTAATGAGTTGTTATTTTTGAACCACCCTGCTATGTCTGAAGTGATAATCAACTGTCTTTCGTGTTGAATAAGTAGATGTAACAAAGAACTCTGCCTGTGG